ATGAAGATTAAAGAACACAGCCTTTGGTATGGATTGCTTCTCAATGTCAAGAAAACAAAAGTCCTCACCACTGGACCAATAAACAACATTCTTATCAACGGAGAAAAGATTGAAGTTGTCAGGGACTTCATTCTTCTTGGATCAACTATCAACGTTCGCAGAAGCAGCAGTCAAGATTTCAGACGACGTATTGCATTGGGCAAATCTGCTGCACAGGAACTTTTTAAAGTGTTGAAGACCAAGGATGTCAGTCAGCTTGAGGACTAAGGTGCGCCTGACCCAAGCCATGGTATTTTCAATAACCTTATATGCATGCAAAAGGTGGACAGTGAATAAGGAAGATCGTAGAAGAATTGATGCCTTTGAGTTGTGGTGTTGGAGAATACTAAAAGTGCCATGGACTGTCAAAAGAACCAATAGATCTGTTTTGGAAGAAGTGCAGCCAGAGTGCTTGGAGGCGAAGATGGCTAAACTTTGTCTGTCATACTTTGGACATATTGTCAGGAGGGAACCGTCGCTAGAGAAGGATGTCATGCTGGGTAAGATGGAGGGTCAGAGAAGAAGAGGAAGACCCCCAACGAGATGGATCGGCCAGGTGGCATCATTGATGGCGTCAAGTGTGGCAGCGGTAGTGAGGTTGGCCCAGAATCTGACATTGTTTCGTTCTGCTGTGCATGGGGTCGCTATGAGTCGGTTCCGACTCAATGGCACCTAACAACAACAACAACAACAACCCATGGCTCTGAACGCTAGGTTTGTACAGAAGTTTTGTTTTTGGTGAATGTAAAATCAAATCAAATACGTTTACATATACACAAAAACCCAAAATGGTCCTTAGGCATATATTTATGGGTTAAACCCAAGTTCTGATTCAGTAACGACTTAAGTAAAATTTCCCAATATTTAGAAATGCTATTCTCTAATGCAGAGGAAATAATATACCATGGTATCGAATTTTTTTTTCTGATAAATGAAGCAACTACAGAAAGCTTTTATTTATTTGTTTAAAATAACCAGTGCTATTGATGAAACATAAAAACAAACAAAAAACCCCAACAGCTCCCCCAATACTACTTCAAAACAAACATATCAAACTTAATTTTCATTAGAATGTAGTTATTCTTCACACTAATAAATCAAAAAACAAAAAACCAAGACTTATATATATATATATAAAGCAATGCAAGCAATTGTTGAACTTCATCTTCTGGACAAGAATGGCAAGTTAGTCTCTCTTCATAAAATGCAATTACAATTTGAGGGCATTTCATGTTTGCCTCTTTTGCCAGAACCAAGTCTGCCTCATCTGAATTCTTCCATTTCATGAGAAACATTAATTCTCCACTGCTGTCTGTGGCACCAATTATTCGCTCAGGATCAAGACCTCTGGCAAAGCCCCTTGGTTTGTCAGCAGCATCTTTTTTTTTCTTTGATTTGCTGTCATCATATTCATTGTCAGACAAAGATTTCCTTTTTGTACCATCCTTTTGTTTACCAGCTTTTTGAGAATCTAGGAATGCCTCAATTAATTTTGGACAATCTAAATTTTCTTCAGGTTCCCAAGTATTATCAGCATCTGTAAATCCTTTCCACTTCAGGAAATACTCCACCTTCCCATTAACTACATGTTTGTCCAGCACTTTTCCTACCACAAACTCTTTGGGTTCTGCTGCTTCAACTTTTTTACTCTTTCTGTTCTGTTTCTTTCCCATTTTTTGTAATGTAGTTTTATTGGAGGCCATTTTTTATTGCAGACTTAAAGAGCTACTACGTTTGCGGAGTGGCGCCTGGTGGTCCCTGGAGAGGAGGGAGCGAGAAGGAGGGGCAGGGACGGTGACCGGAGCCTTCTCCGCGGAGGCTTTTCCTATGTATAAGTTTTTATTGTGAGGTTTACATGGAAGAATATCAGTTTTATATTCATCCTGTCGTATTTCGTATAATTGCAATGATTATAATCCCCTCCATGCATCATCAAATAACCAAAGGGTACACCCCACAAGCCCAGACCCTGGCTGTCAGCACACACACAGCCCCTCTCCCTCCCTGTGTTCAGTGTCCCCAGCTGCTCCATCTGTCCAAGTCATCTTCTCTGTCTTCATCCCTGGCGTCTCTGCCTCTCTGGATAGGGTCCCGCTCTCCGCTCTTCTCACTTGCTGGTCCCAGGTACCTCCTGGGCTGTAAAATCAACCACTTCCCTCCTTTTGTCAAAAAACATTTACCTCTGTATTTCCTACCCTCACAGTCAGTCCTGATAGGAATTATTCACTATTGTAACACAAGAGTCTTATTCCCATTTCCTTTCTCCAGCCCTCTCCCAACAGATTGGGAATCCTTCAGTGGAGATTCTACCTTCCTCCACACTGTCTGGAATTAGGCTCCCTCTTGAAAGCTTGTAAGCCAGTCACTTCTTGCATTTATAGTCCATCCCCATTTTGGGTATCCATTATCTAAGTTGCCTATCCCTGTCAACCCTGTGTACCAAGGGGGTGGGAGTGATCCTTGCAGTAAAGATTCGTTCCCTTTTTTGAGCCACTACATCCATAAGCATATAAGTAAAGTTCATCAAATTATAGCAGGTTACTCTTTTTTTCTCTCTCCTCTTCTTTCTTCTTCTAGTCTAGTTCTGATCATCTAGCCAAGTCAAGTGGGTGTTCTTGTGCATCTCTCCTCACTTCATATCAGCTGGATGCTTCACTCTCCGTTCTAGTACTCTGTGGCCATCCCTTTGGGCCCAGGAGTCCCTGGGTCTTGCCGTACTGCTGGCCATCCAGGTCTCCACCCAAGTGCACAGGGGTCTATTGAATGTGGTCGGACTTAGATTGCAACTTCATTGATGGTTTTTCCTCCTCTTCCCCTTATTGTTGATCAACGTGGTCACCAGCCAGACCACCTGCCTGCTCATGTTTTCCCCTTGAGTCTCAAACTTGGAAGGACATTTGCTCTGAAGGGTCTCGACCACTTCTCTGCATGGTTCCCGGGTGAACAGCCTACTTGCTCTTGTAGTAATCAGTCAGACTGCCATTATTGTTTCAGACTTTTCCTGTCGGTCTTTCTGTCATGAAATATCTTCTGGCTGCTCCAAGCTGGTCTACTTGTCCTTTCTAGTGGAAATTTCCTAACTTAGATGATTCTGGATGGGGTTCTGCATTCCACCTATGGTCTTATGCAATATAAAGACTCCACAGTGAAGTTGCTCTTTCACTGGGCAACTTCTAGCCCCCTTTAAAGTATTCCAATCAGTTATAGGCTGAAGATGGACTTACAAGCTTTCTGTAGTGATGTCTCTGACTATTCCTTTCTTCTCCCTCAAGTGTCTATTTAAAAATGAAACAAGGGAACCCAAGTTTCAAAAGACAGCCAAGCATCTTAACATTATTCCCCTTTTACCTCTTCCAACCATGCCTCAATCCCTGTATACAAGAGCCCTGTTGTTCCGAGGTTGTGCATGCATCATCATTTACCTCTGTCACACTTAGCCCATGCTAACCTGCCTTACCGTTCTCCCTTCAGCCTTGTTTTTCTATTCCCCTCCCCTTCTTGTGAATTTTCCGTCCCACCCCCTCAGCACCCAAACTAACCTGTGTCTATTTCCTACCCTGTGCTTTCTCTTCCCCTCCCGCCCTCCCCTCCTCTCATCCCATACATCCTGGTGATCAGCAAATATATGTTGTTGTTGTTGTTGTTATGTGCGGTGACGTCAGTTCCAACTCATAGCGACCCTGCACAGGGTTTCTGAGGCTGTAAATCTTTATGGGAGCAGAAAGCCTACTCTTTCTCCTACGGAGCAGCTGGTGGTTTCGAACTGCTGACCCTGAGGTTAGCAGCCCTATTCGTACCCACTCAACAAATATATATATATATATTTTTTTTTTTTCTCTTTTAGTGTGTGTTTTTTTTTTTTTTCTTAGTCTTTTACAATAGTGGTCCTATGCAGAATTTCTCCTTTTGTGACTGACTAATTTCACTCAGCATAATGTCCTCAAGGTTCATCCATGTTATACGGTGGTTTAAAGCTTCCTTGTTATTCTTCAAGGTAGCATAGTATTCCATTGTGTGTATGTACCACAGTTTATCCATTCTTCAATTGATGGACACATAGGCTATGTCCTTTTTGCTATTGTAAATAGTGCTGCTATGAACATTGATGTGCATATGTCTACTCGTGTTATGGCTCATATTTCTTGTGGGTAAATACCAAGTAGAGGACTTGCTGGATCATAAGGTATTTCTATTTCCAACCTTTTGAGGAAGTACCATATTGCTTTCCAGAGAGGCTGGACCATTTTGCAGTCCCACCAGCAATGCAGGAGTGTCCCAGTCTCGCCACATCCCTGCCAGCATTTATTGTCCTCTACATTTTTTTATCTTTGCTGTTATTGTTAGTGTGAGATGATATCTCATTGTTTTGATTTGCATCTCTCTAATGGCTAGTGATCATGAACATTTCTTCATGTGTTTGTTGGCTGCCTGGATCTCTTCCTTGGTGAAGTGTCTGTTCATTTTTAATTGGGTTATTTGTCTTTTTCTTGTAGAGTATTGTAGTTTCCTATATATTTTAGAAATGAGTCCGTTGTCTGATGTGTCATTGCAAAAGACTTTTTTTCCCATTCTGTGGGTTTCCTTTTTAATCTTTTGGTGAAGTCTTTTGATGCACATAAGGTTTTAATTTTTAGTGTGTCCCAATCATCTATTTTGTCTACTTTTGTTTGTGTACTTTTCAAAATGTTTGTTATTCTGTGTATTCCCTGTATTAGAGCCCTCATATTTATCTCTATTTTTTTCATTGATAACCTTCATAATTTTGGGATACACATTTAGGTCTTTAATCCATGCTGAGTTGGTTTTTGTATAGGGCATGAGGTAAAGGTCATGTTTCAGTCTTCTGCATATTGCTTTCCAGCTCTGCCCTCACCATTTGTTAAAGAGACTATGTCCTCCCAATGCAGTATACCTGGGCACTTTGTCAAAAATCAGTTGGCTGTATGTGGATGGGTTAATTTCTAGATTCTGGATTCTGTTATTGATCACCGTATCTTTCATTATAACAGTATCAGGCTGGTTTGACGACCGTGGCCATGTAGTAGATTTTCAAATTGGGAAGTGAGAGCCTTCCAACCTTGTTCTTCTTCTTAAGCAATGCTTTGCTTGTCCCCTGTCTCTTTCCTTTCCATATAAAGTTTGTAATGGTTTTTTCCATCTTTTTGAAGAATGTTGTTGGAATCTGGATTGGGATTGCATTATATGTGTAAATTGCTTTGGGCAGTATTGACATTTTCACAATATTGAGTGTTCCTATCCAGGAACATGATACGTTCTTCCACTTTTTAAGTCTCTTTTGGTTTCTTTTTTAATAAATGTTTTATTGTGAATTATGTGATAGTTTACATGGAAGAACATTAGTTTTACATTCATTCTATCCTATATCGTTTCTTTGCCATAGTTACCATCCCGTCCATGCGTCATCAAAGGGTATACCCTGCAAGCCTGCCCCCACTCCCCATGGTCATCAGCACACAGTCCCTTTCCCTCTCTGGATCTCAAGTCCCCAGCAACTCTCCACGTCATTTTCTCTGCCTCCATCTCAGGCATCACTGCTTCTCTGGGTAGGGTCCCGCCCTCCGCTCTTCTCCATTGATGGTCCCAGGGCCCTCCGCTCCTAGACTGAAAAGTTAATCACTCCCCTCCTTGCTATAAAATGTCCACCTTTACATTTCCAGCCCTCACAATCAGTCCTGATAACAATTATTCACTATTGCATCACAAGAGACCCATCTGCATTTCATTTCATCAGCCTTTCCTGGACAGGCTGGATACTATCCCTGGAAACTCTACCTTCCCCCACGACCTCTAGATCTAGGTTCCCTCTTGAAAGCTTGTAAGCCAGTCACTTCTTGTCTTTGTATTCCGCCTCCCTCCCCACCCCAATTTTGGGTATCCAATGTCTAAGTTGCCCATCCCTGTCTGCTCTTTGTGTGGAGGGAGTGGGAATAGTTCTTGCAGCAGGGATTTGTTTCCTCTTTTGAGCTACTGCATCCATAGGTATAGGTCAAGTTTATCAAACTGTATCAGATGATACTTTCTTCCTCTTCTTTCTTCTTTGGGTTGAACTCTGATCATCCAGTCATTGAAGCCAGGTCAAGTGGGTATTATCTGCAAGTGTGGGTGCTCTTGCATCTGTCTGCTCTCTTCTTATCAGCTGGACGCTTCGCTCTCCACTCTAGTCCTCTGTGACTGTGTCATTGACTTCTCAGCCCATGAGTCCCCAGGTCTTGCCACACTGCTGGCCGACCGGGTCTCCACCCGGGTTCACAGGAGTCCATTGAATGATGCAGGGCTTAGCTCCATTGCTGCCGTTCCCTCACCTCCCCCCATGGGTGACGTGCATGGTCGCCAATCAGAACGTGTATTCCCATTGCGTCTTAGTCTTGGAAGAGGATTTGTACTGAGAGGACCCGACCACTTGCCTTGATGTATCCTGGGCAAGCAACTTGCTTGTTCTTGTAGAAACAGTCGGACTGCCTTTATTGTTTTGTATTTTTCCTGTAGGTCTTTCTTTCAAGAAGTATCTTCTGTTTTTCTAGCTGTTCCAGGCTGGTCTGCTCGTCCTTTCAAGTGGAAAACTTCCCATCTCTGAAGATCTGGATGTGGTTCAGGCTTCCACCTATAGTCTTAATGTAATGCAGAGGCTCCTAAGGAAACCTCCTTCACTGGACACATTGTAGCCCCATTTTAGGTATTCCAA